CCCAAACTGCGTAGCCCACTTGCTCGCAGCCCCCTGGCCCACTAGGTAGGTTATTGGTGCGCCTGGCGTTCCTCGAACCCAGGTCCTCACCCTTTAACAACCTTCCCACCAGACAAGTTGTCACCAATTGATCTGCAGGTCAGTTGGTGACAACTTGTCTGGTGGGAAGGTTGTTAAAGGGTGAGGACCTGGGTTCGAGGAACGCCAGGCGCACCAATAACCTACCTGGTGGGCCAGGAGGCTGCGAGCAAGTGGGCTGCGCAGTTTGGGCCCACATGAGAGAGGTTAGGGTCGATGCGCTGCAGCGCTGTAAAGATGCCATGTGGCGGGGTGTGCCACATGGCAGAGTGTTCCCACGGGGCAAGGTGTTACATGAACCAAGATGGAATTCAAGAGATAGAGTTCATCAATCTCTTAGAATGGAGACAGAGAATGTCACTTATTCTGCACTAGTGAACAAGATATGCAAAAAGGCAAAGGTTGATAAAACTACGACTGAGCTGAAATTGAGTTACGTTCCAGAACCGGTGGAGCCTAAGAGACCAATGTACATATTTGATGATGAATGAAGATAATTTCAAAGTATTTCATGTCGAAGTCGTAAACTTGTTTTTATGATTTTTAATTTGATTTATTAAAAAATTTTCTTACAAGTATAAAAATATTAAATAAGTATAAAATATACCTATAAAATTATTGAAAATCGAAAATAAGTATATATTTGAATTTTATAAGCATATATCAGAAAAATAGAAAAATAAAAAAAAACATAAACATGACATTTGACTTTGAATTTATTTATTTTATCCAATTTTGTATATAAATATATATATAATAAAGAATAATAATTGTACTCCACTATAGATTTTTTCATCATATTCTAAGTTTATCATGAAATACCTTATACATTAAGGTTCACTTTCTCATTGCAAACAACATATAATTAGAAAAGCTAAGATTTTAATGTTTTCAAAAATATTTAGGCATGTACATATGGTATGTGTACCTCAATTAATTAAAATCATGTGTACAAATAAAAATATATAGTTTAAACATGGTATAACTAATCACAACAAAATAAAATAAAAAATGTTCAACTTGCCAAAACTAGTATAACTTGAAATTTTGGCAACTAGTGCATTTTGACGGCTACTCATGTGCATTTTGGTGGCTACATGTGTGTAACGTGGATGACGTGTTTGTTGTTTGGTCCTTTCTTTATTTTTCTATACTTTTCAAAATTCAAATTTCCAAAACAAATTGAAAGGGGGTATCGGGTCAGCTAGGTAGGGTTTACTAGAGTTGGGTTTTATTCTCTTCTCTTCTCCTTCTTCGTTATGGGTTTGCGATTTGCGATTTGGTCTTCTTTCAGGGTTTGCAATTTCTAAGTTACCACTGAAATTATGTGACTTCTAGAGAATGAACTAGGAATATGGAGCATCAGAGATCATATGTGTATACTCATTTATGTGATTGTCTTCTTGTGATAGGGTTGGGAATATTGTACAACTAAGTATAACTTGTTCTTTGTAATGGTACAACTAAGTATAACTTGTTCTTCGTAATAGTACAACTATGTATAACTTTTTCTTATCGTATGATATGATTATAATTTTCCCTATTGGCTTAACTTTGTTGGTAATTTGAAGTTAATTCGTGTATTCGGGTTGTATTGTATTGTTGTAAATCTTGTATTTTGTAATGGTACAACTCGTATCTAGTTATACCAAGTTGATCTTTTCAATGCAGTTGTACCTAGTTTACCTATAAATGGACTCAAAAACTTAACAAACGACATTAAGCTAAACAGAATAGTTCAAAAACACACCAATCCAGAAAAACACAACAAACCACAAACCAATCTAAAGAGTTCACATATAATATGATTCAAAAACATAACATAAAACAAATCAATTTCTTAGTCAAAATAAACTAGTTATACAGAGTTCGCACAAGTTGTACTATTCTATCCAAGTTGTACATATCGTTGAATCCTCAGAATTTGATTTCGGCTTTGAATCTGTTTTATCAGAATCATCTCCACGAGTCCCATTTTATTCTACGATTGCATATGTTGCCTTTTCGATTTCACCTACTGGATTTGATTCTTTGTTAAAGCTTTCGTTCTTTGTACGCACCATTCTCTTCTCCTTCACACAAAATAAACAAACGCAAATTAACAACACACTTGAGTAATAAACAAAATCAACAACCCTAAATTAAGATTAACAAATCGAAAACACCTAAATCGACAACATTCAAGCAGATCTAACATAAAATACCCAAAGAATCATCGATTTGATTTACCCAAAGTCGAGTTGTCCTTAGTTGTACTCGACAAACTATTTGTGATTTTTGGATTTTTCAAACACTTAGGATTTGGGAGTTTTGTGATTTTTCAATCGATGAGCAAGACAAAAGGGTGAAAGATCCGACGGATATACAAAAGTAGAATGGGTTTTCGGATTTGGTGTGGTTGGATCAGTAATTTTTAGGTTTTAGTAAGGGTGGGTAGGTATTTACACCCATTTTCGATTTTTTTAAATAAATTAATTATTTTTTCCTTTGGTCAAACCTTTATTAGAATACGGATATGGGTCAAAGCACCAAAGATTTTAGTCTGATGTTTATTTTTTTACCTAAGTGATAGATAGGGGTAAAAAAGTATGAAAAGAAGAGAACTTAATATTGAATTTTAGATGTTAGATAATTAGTTAATTGGTCAACTGAGCCTACCAAGTGTAAATACCCTTCTTCTTTTTTTGAAATTGTTATGATGAATCTTATAAAATAATTTAAAATTTAAATATTGTAAATAAACCCAATAAAACTATCCTCAGTTTTCAAATACAAAAATAAAATTAATCACTAAATTTGATCGAAAATTAATTAAAGATAATGAAATGATTCAAAAATTTATTAATCACTCATGAGTTAGCTTGTGTTTATTAACTAGGATTTATCCCGAGGTACACCACGGGTCCATTATATATATATACTAGTTGTTGACCCGCGCTACGCGCGGGAAGTTTATAGTTTTATTTATTTTATTTATTTTGCAACGTTTTTTTTATGTTTTTTATTGTTGTCATTTTTTGTTATTCTATTTTTCATATTGGTTGATGATTTGTCCTTACGGTGTGCATGTGATGAAAGGTGTCATGGGATTTCCTCAGCCAAGACTTCGGAAGCATTGAGACCTCGGGAAACAGAAAAGGATTGGACATATTATGTTTGGTTCAAAGGGGTTGTCCCAAATGTAACTTTCCATATGTGGGTAAGTCACCTAGATAAATGACTCACGTGGCAAAGACTTGTTTCTTTGGGATAGATTCAGTCTTTAGAGTGTTGTCTATGGTTGTTTGTTTCGGAATGACCATCTCTTCCTTTCTTCTGATTTTTCTGTCGAGCTTTGGATGTTGATCTTTTTTAGGCTCTGCCCTTAACAGTGACTTTTCGCCTCGTCGTCAAAATTGCTCTCTTGGACTCGACTCTCTTCTTCAATACTCCTTGCTCTCCTCCAGAAGCTAACATCTCAAAAGATAGTCTACATCATTTGACGGCAACGCAACAACGTCTTGCATAACTCCGAGCGTTTGTCTCTTCAAGTAGTTTTCAAGTTGATCGATGCGAAATTCGCAATATCATATCGTCAAGGACACTAAGGAAGCGTTAGCACAAGCTCATGCTTTTATGGATTCGTTAACCCAAAACTTGCTTAATTATATAGTAGCTTTGTTTTTGTTTTTTTTCTTGGTTATTTTCTTGTAGGTTTCTTTTTGTAAAATCTTAATTTTAATTTTAATGATATTTACATTATAAGTAAGAAAAAAAAGATAAATGATGATGTGGCGGATGACGTGGCAGGTGATGTGGCTGAAGGAGAACAGAGCAAAGTTAACTTTATATATATAGATATATATATTTGTTTGGTTGGTCATTTTGATAGTTGGTTTATATAGTCTAGTTTTTATACGTGTTTACTTGATTTTTATTTTATATAATTTTATGAATTTTATTATAATTAGATTCATAGATATATGTGATCAACCGTCAACCCACGGTACATCGCGGAGCGATTTGGTTGTAAATAAAAATTTATATATTAACTTAACCCGTTAAATATTTTAAATATAGACGACCCCTAAAAAAATATAATTATATTTTATGTAAACGCGAACCCATTAAACCATATTTATGTACAATATTATTATACTTTTAATTTTGTTAGAGTTAAAATATTAATAATTTAATTTTTGTAGAGTTTAATTTTTTTAATATTTTAATATTATATAAAGATTAAATATTATAATATTTGGTGTTTTAAAAAGTTTTAATATTTATAATATTTGAAACATTTTTAAAGTGTAATAAATATTTTTGGATGTAATAAATATTTTTTGGATGTAATAAATATTTTGGATGTAATAATATTGTAACTCTAACCACTAGACCTTTTTGGATGTAATAAATATTTTTTTCCAATTTTTGCGATTTGTTTGTGATTTAACTACAAATTTGACTTTTAAGTTTTTTATTTATTCAAATGGCAACTATGCAAATATTACCAAATAAAAGGTTATAAGCCTAAATAAATTTTAGTACAAAATGTACCTTAAAAATGTATATATAGATGCTCATGAGCTAGCTCGTCTCAAAGAGTTCAATTGTGCAAATATTACCAAATAAAAGGTTATAAGCCTAAATAAATTTTAGTACAAAATGTACCTTAAAAATGTATATATAGATGCTCATGAGCTAGCTCGTCTCAATCAACATGATCATACCATTCATTTATTAAACAATCCTATAAAAACTGGCGTTCGCTGAGCCAACTCGTGAGCCAGTGTCTCACTATTACGAAGGGGCACTTTTAGTGTTCATCTTTTTCACATGTATTAATTTTAAGTCAAATTTAGAAATATTACAAAAACTTTGGACCAGTCCAACGAGCTTTCCATGACAATACCAAATAGGTGTTTGGTCCGGTTTTCACAACATTAGACTTGTCAAAAATGAATTTATATATATACACAATTGGTCTTCAGTTAATGTTGCAGGGGCAGAGCAACTGCTGCTTTAAACTGAACAACATAGAGCTAGGAAAAGTCATTATTTTAACAAAACTGTAGTTGTTGCATCTTCGAGTTCCCACAATTAATTCCCAATAACCATGTTTCAGCCAACCTTAAATATGTTTCAATTTTCTCTGACCCGTTTCCTTGATGCTGAAGCAGATTCAGTCCGGTCATCTGTTCGTGTTTCGAGACCAAATTCGACTTCTGCAGATGTGGTGTTACATTGCTTTGGTGATTCTTCTGGAGATAAGCTCTTGTTCTCTTGTATCTTTTGTTGTTTCTCGAACATCATCTGAAGGTATCTGCCCTGTTTTTCAATCTGTAGCTGCAGTGTCCGTTGGATCTAGCATATAAAGAAAACAACATAAGACAATGGTCATAATATCTATGACAAGTCCTCTTTCAAAGCTAGAAATCAGGTAAAGAAGGGTGTTCTTTTTTAGCGGTTACCTCGAGCTGCTCATGGAGACGTTTCTGAACTTCCATCTGTAACCTTAGAGCTTGTGTGATCTCAACGCTCCTGGAAACGAAATAATAACAAAATAAATTTAACACTATTAGGAAGAAAAAATCATGTGCAGTCAGGAAAGTGAATTTTCTTACGTTTTCATGTCAAGAGATTTGATATCTTCCATAGATGTCATCTTCTTCTCTTGAGGTTCTCCTGTGGAAGAAAGAGACAAAATTTAGACAAAGTATGTGCCCCTTTGTAAGGTGTACGCATTTGAGACTTTAGCGTAATCTAGAAAGTGACCGATTCTTTAAAGGGCTATGTGGTTTATAGCTCGGCAAAAGTGCACAAGTACTATGTTAAAGAATATGAAGTCCTTACCTGTAACTTCTGAAGTCTCTGGTTTATACCTCGCTGTTCGGTATTTCTGCAAAACATAAAGATTATAAAAATGAGAAAAGGGCTAAGCTTAGCAAAGAAACAGCATGAGATGCATAAGCTAAAAAACATATGGGTTTGGACATACCTGCAGATGGCTTTTTACATGATAAATGGTCAAGACAGGGTTATTCAAGAGCTTCAAAACAGCTTTGGGCGTGGCTCCTACAGTGGGAATTATAAAAGGCAATAAAAGAATAAGTTCAACTGTTTCCAGTTAAACGGCCTCTAGCTATTATTTTCAGGAACGAGAGAAGAAGAAAGCATACGCACGTTCACTACCACCGAGCTGATTAACAGCTTCAACAAATGCCTCGTGAAGTTCCGGTGTCCAACGCATGCGTTGTTTAGATGTTGCTACGCTAGATGATGAGTTTCTGCCACTGAGCTGCTCCTCTGAGAAAACCATCTGATGCTGCTGGTTAGCTTTCATCTCTTGCCTTGGTACATTAGAAAATGGTGTCGGTATCTGTTAGAAATTATGCAAAACGCTGATTAAATGAGAAATGAACAACCATAGAGATCATACGTGGCTACAAACAGAATGTGAACCTCTGAATTTGGATTGTGGGAACTTGGATCACCAAGAAGTTCAGACCAATTTGGCTCTGAGCCATCATCAGCAGAAATCAGCTGATCTGCCCAATCTTGCCATTCACTTCTATTATTGAGTTCCACTGATGTATCAACCCTTACACCGCTACTTTGCTCGGCTTGTAGACTTTGAACAGGGATATGATCAGAGAAATCAAAGAACTCCTGAAGTGGATCTGTGAACTCTTGAGGCTGATGATGATTGATCAGTGAGGAGGGTTGTGCTTCCAATGGGAGATCCTGCATAGCAAATCTATCTCTTGGCACGGTGGAAACAGGTGACTGTGTTTGCAAATTCCTTCCATGAGGCGAGACAGCTGAAACATTACAGAATCCAGAGGAAGAAGAAAACAAATACCCTCCAGAATTGTCACCAGACACTGACTGACAGGGTACAGGGTTATTCATCAGTTCCTGCCCTGATGAAAGCCAGAAAGAGTTAGGCAACTTGCGGTATCTGTCTTCTACAGTAGTATGAAGAGCTGAAAACGACGAAGACATAGCTGTTGTATATCCAAAATCATTAGCCAGAGTCATAGTTTCCTCCTAACTCAGAAAGGAAAGAGCTTTGCAATTAAGGAAGTAAGGAACACGAATAACAGCGAGATATGACACTCACAATAAGAAAGTTATATACAGAATATAACTTTATACAAAGGAGATGAACCATTGAATCAATTCCCTTTCCATTAATTCAGATACTATCTTTTCCCCCAGTCAAAAAAACAATCTCTCAAGAATATTCCAAACCTTTAGATCACAAACTCTTAGCTCTCTATTGCTTCTCTTCCTATTTTCAAAGAATTCTCCTCTAATACAACAAAACAAAGAAATAAAGATATGTACTTTATAACCAGAAACTTAAATCCTCTATAAGCTACGATGAAGCAATAGAGAAATGAACATGGAGGAGCATCTACATATATATAGAGAAAGGACATTACATAAGATATGGAATCAGTACTTAAGGAATGAAATTTACATCCACTTTGGCAAAGTTAAATATGGCTTTTGATGAAACCATAGAGACGTGTAAAAGGAGCCACACCATCATTAGCATACATAATAAAGGAGAATCTTTTCAATTACTGAAACAAACTCAGAATCAAATTTACTAAAACTAATACTGTATAATCCTTTAACATAGACCTTTTCTTCATTTAGTCTTGTAACACAAAGTCAAAATGAAAAAAAAAAATCAGACCTTTTTATACAAAACCCATCAAAGTTTACAACTTTAGTCATTACTCCAAATCAAAATACAGAGAAAGTGAAGAATTGAGAAATTTTAGATAAGAGAAACTCATAATTCATACTAAACCAAACAACACAAAATCAAAACCCAACTAATCAGCAAACCTAGTCATTAATCCAAAGTTTAGACTAAAACCCAGATTAAGAATGAGAAAACCCAAATCAAAGAATCTTACTTTACTTTAGAGAAGAGAACACGAGAGCCCTCCTGATGATGATGACGATGAGTGAATAAATGATCAACGAAAGCTTTTTTAATGTTTATTTTCACGAGATTTTTTTCCCCTAAACCATGAGAGACCGAAGAAGAGAAGAGACCTAGTTTGTTGGCTTCTCCTTCTGACGTATCTGTTGTTGTTTCCCAGCTTTTAATTTTCTTTGGTGTATCCTGACCGTTGGATTCTCCTTTGTTTTATCTATCAACGGTGAGATTTACGTGGAGTACTTCAATTGTTGAAACTATGTTGTACACGATCACTTGTTTTTTTTTTTTTAGAGTTTCTTGAATTTAAATATTGGTCAAAAGCTGCTTATCTATATATCTAAAATTAGTTTTTTCTCTCTTCTCATGATGTCACCTAAGCCACATTTTTTTTATATTAAAATAAATTTAAAACATTCATTTAGTGCATATTTATGTTACTTATTTAATTAATAGAAAATTTATATGAATAAAAATAAATTATGTAAATAAATGAAATGTTAAATAAGAAATACTTTCATTTTTTATTAGTTAGTGGTAATAATATAATTCAACTTTCATTTTAAATTGATCATAGTTTAAAATTTTAAACGTGTTACTGAGTTTAAGAATGTAAGTAAATTTTAAATTTATGCTAGAATAAAAACAACATTTATGTAATTGTATATATAAAATTTTAAAGGGGAAAAATAAAATTGAAAGTGAAATATTAGTTTATAACATTATCAAAAAGAAAATGCTTTTAATCTAAATTTAAATATTGAAAGATAATAATTCAAGAGAAAATAGCTATAATATGTTTTGAAAATCAATTAAAAAATAAATAAAATATCACAATATAAATAAAAAATTAACAAAAAATTATAAACCCGCGCGCAGCGCGGGTCAACTGCTAGTACTATATAAGTACAACATTTTTTTTTCTTTTTGTTACGGAACAATGAATTAATTTATTTTTTTTGTTCATGAAAGCTACGTTTAAGATGGATATTAAATTAATATTTTGGAAAAACTTGTAAAATGTGAATGATGATGATTTAAAGCTTTATTATTTTATAAGAAGATTTTTTGGGTTCTTTATAATGTCTCTTTGTGAATTTACGTATATGATTTTTTATAAGTTACAAACTTAAAAGTCATTTTTATCTAAAGAAAAAGAGATAATAACTATAAAAGCACATATAAGTTTGAAAATTATTCTAATAGCACGTTCAAGATATTGGTAACTAGAGTAGCACATATTTGTTGAAAGAAGACAATAAAAGAATAGGATGTGTTTATATTTACACAAAGTGCCATTATATTTACATCGGTACCAGTGTTCTCAAGAGGTGACTCGGATTGCACAAACAGAAGCGGATGCTTGGCAGGCTGCTCAGGTTGAAGATCTTGGAACCACTCTGGTGAACTTGGTGCCGCGGACCCCAGTACAACGGCGCCCGATTACCTTATCTTTTGTCTTTTCAGGATACCGATGCTTTATTGACGGATCATGGAAAGAAACAGATAAGGATGCAGGATTAGGATGGTTTTGTCAGCACTCGCAGGATGGCTCCACGTTTATGGGAGCTTCAAACCCCCGTAGAAGTCTTTCTCCACTCCATGCAGAAGTAGAAGCACTGATGTGGGCGATGCGATGTATGATAGGCCACGACTTCAGAGATGTAGCGTTTTTAACAAACTGCTCCGACTTGGTGAAGATGGTGTCTTCCCCTTCCGAGTGGCCGGCTTTCTCTGTATACCTAAAGGATATCGATAGTGATAGGGAAGAATTTTCTACCTTTTCTTTATCTCTTATTCCTCGAAATGCAAATGTAATAGCGGATAGCCTGGCACGCAATGTGCGTGCTCTTCCGCATTTGGTTAAGTTTGTTAACAATTTTCTCCCTAATTGGCTTCTTTAAGCCGATCTATTTGAGTTTGGTGTTGACAAAAAAAAAAAAAAACTTTTTATGATACCCTCTTTTAAAAATACCTTTTTTTTGCTATTTTCATTTTTGCCCTCTTTTAAATTTTAATGTCCATTTTACCCCTATTTGAAAGAATATTCTTTCTCAAAGGAAGGAATATTCCTTCCAAAAAATTTTCCCCCAAAAATTTCCCGCCAAAAAAAATTCCGAGAAAATTTTTTCCGCCAAAAAATTTTCCGCGCAAATTTTCCCGCAAAAAAAATATATTTACAAATTTTCCCGCCAAATTTTTTAAAAGGTTTACAAGATTTTTTAAAGGGTGTTTTAAAGGGTTTACAAGGGTTTTTAAAGGGATTTACAAGAGTTTTTAAATGGTTTTTAAAAGATTTGTAATGGTTTTTAAAGGGTTTTAGAACCCTACAAAGGTTTTAAATGGTTTTTAAATGATTTTCAATGGTTTTTAAAAGTTTTTATAAGTTTATAACAGTTTTAAAAGGATTTACAAGGATTTTTAAAGGTTTTTAAAAAGGATTTACAAGTGTTTTTAAAAGGATTTACAAGTGTATTTAAAGGCATACAAAGATTTAAAAATAGTTTTAAAGGATTTACAAGGGGTTTTAAAGGGTTTTAGAAGTTTACAAAGGTTTTTAAAGGGTTTACAAAAGTTTTTAAATGTATTACAAATTCTTTAAAATGGTTTTAAGGATTTACAAGGGTTTTAGAAGTTTATAAAAGTTTTTATTAAATGATATATCACGGTTATAAGGGGTTTAAAGGGATTTACAAGTGTTTATAAATGTTATAAAATGATTAACAATGATTTTAAAAGGCTAACTCAAGTTTTGAAAGGGTTTGGATGACTTTTAAAAGATTTACAAGGTTTTTTAAAGGACTTTTTATGGGATTTAAAAATATTTACAAGGTTTTTTAAAAGATTTTTTAAGGAACTGCAGAAAAAGTTTGGCTGAAATTTTCTGGCGGAAAAAAATTTTGTCGGAAAGTTTTTGGCGGGAAAATTTTTTTGGCGGAAACTTTTTTGGCGTAAATTTTTTGGCGGGAAATTTTTCGGAAAGAATATTCTTTTTGTTGGAAGGAATATTCTTTTTGTTTGAAAGAATATTTTTTTTGTTGAAAATAATATTTCTTTCTTCATCATGAGTTATAATAAAGGAGGGTACTTGTAGAAAATGGCATAATAAAAAGGTTAGTTGTGCAAATCCCCCAAATAAAATCAGTGAAAAAAATGGTTTTAATGGTAAGAAATAAAATAACCTAAAACAAACCGAAGAGGTTGAAAGAGTTTATGTGTTGTGTCGGGAGAGTATGTGGCGATTTGTGGAGGCGAAAGGAGTAGGCGTGAGACAGTGGCCGTGTTAGGGATTGGTCGGTGTTCGATAGGTGGTGTGATATTCTGTGGAATTGTGGAGGTGAAAGGAGGAGCGTAGAGTAGGTGTGCGTGGTCCGGTTGTGGCGCAAGTCGATTGGAGTTTGCGTGTTCCGGCTGCGGCGGTGGTCGACTGGGGTGTGATAGTTCCGGTTGTGGCAGTGGTCGATTGGGGTGTGGTTGTTCCGGTTGTGGCGGTGGTCGATTGGGTAAGAAATCGGGTAAGATTGATATAAATCTTTAAAGTTATTTAAGAATGGAAGTTGATAAGTTAATAATTTCGTGTTGTAGAGTATGGTCGAGTAAACGGAGAGCGACGGATCCGGAGTAGTGAGGTAGATAGGGGTAAAGTTCTGAGTAAAATCGAGAAGGAGGTAGATTGGTGGGTAGAAAAAAATCTTGAAACAACTGTTGGTGTAAAAGGTGAAAGAAAGAATAGAGTATTGAAATGTGTAGTTATCAGAAAAAGTTTAATCTTTCATTGTATGAGTAACTGCAGGAAAGTATTAGTGGAGCAGATGGAGTCAGGAGGGAATAAGAAATCGAAGAAGGAGGTGAGAATAACTTAATTTGAATTTGGGGGTATGATAGGGAGATAGAGTTACGATACTTAGATAGAAATAGATGGTAGAGTAAGATAGGTGAGAAAGTGAGAGTATCGATTAGAAAGAAATAAATTTTTGTTTGGTGTGTTATAGTAAGTAAGGTGAGAGAGTAAAGGTGTAAGTAAGTTTGATTGATAGTTTGATTGATATTTTGTGATATGAGAATCAATTATTGTGTTATTCTAACATAGAAATTTTATTAATTGAAAAATATAGTTAGTTGTGAGAGAAGTATAATGATGAAACTGAAAATTGTAGGAATCAAAAGGAAGAAATGATGAGAAGAGGTACCCACCTAGACTGTATGCAGATGGGAAATCACCTATTCATAAAAGGAGCATGCATCATAACTGCACATTGGCCAGCTTTGGGTTCATGAAAGAGTGCATAGGTGAGGAAGTGTATAATGACATTCGGGATAATACACAAGTTGGAGTTATACTGAAGCTGGCAGATAGTGATTATGTGTGGTGGGCTGGGCTGGTTCATCATATTTTAACTCGGCAATTGGCAGTACTGAAAAGACCCGACCCGTTTTTTTTTTTTTTTTTTTTAAAATAGTCTCATACCTACTAGTTAACCTAACCTAATTAACCCAACAATAAATCATCATGCATAGCGGAAACATAATAAACCAACATCAATTCATCATAATATTAATTAACCAATCATTCAATAACCACAATTTACACCAGCAACCTAGCATGCCTCTAAACCAGGTTCCAACAACAATTAACATATTCATAAATATAACAACCAAGACCCTATATCATCCTCCTCTCCTCGCCATGATTCCACGGATCACACTATACCTGCACCACAAACACAATGAGATGCGTGAGTATTATCACAAATACTCAGTGAAGCGATCCTCCCATCCACTGGGCTATACACACAAGCATATTAAACCAATCTAACATGCATCATATTAACCAGAACAAACAAACCAGGCATAAAAAGACACGAAATACACGCTGTCAAGAAAAACTGTCTAGAAATTTGGTGTCGAGCGACACCAGACTGGTGTCGAGCGACACCGATCTCGCAGAAACCCTAAAATCGCCTCTCAACTCCCCAGAGAACGAATCCAACACCTCAAAAGCTCCAGCCATGAGCCCTAACACTCAAACATACAATAACAGCAACCAAAACACACAAACATGGCCACACAAAACAAATCCAGCCATCCAAATCAATCAAACACACATAAGAAAGGTTAAACATGCTTAGATCAGCCATAGT